AACCAACTTGTTACACTCTAGAATTTGCTGACCTTCAAAGCTAGGTGCTGTCAACTCCTCTGAACTGTTGTATACTGTGAAGCATTTAGCACACCATCAGGGTGAGAAGCACTTCATACAATGCAAGTTACCACCATTAACCATTTGCTAAAGGTGCTTTCTTATTACATAGGATATGGACCAGATCAAAAGAGTAAGGAGATGAAAAAAGGAGGTGGCATGAAGTCAAAAGGTAAAAGATCACTAGGCATACTAGCACCAATCCCCTAAAATTGAGGGGGCTGATAAAGCCCCCCATGTGGTATCACAGAGCAGTTTGTCGGACTAAATACTTTATCTCACCCCTATCCAAGGAAGCAAGTAAGGTATCTAAAACCTCAAACATACCACAGATTTCATGCACTAGAACCTATAAGAACATTTGCTCCAAAGCAGCCCCTGGGAGAAACAGGACTGGACAGATTATATACGTGAACAAAAAAAAACTTCAGAAACAGACTTCAAAGAGAAACAGCAGAACTAAAATTCATTTGCAAATTTAACACCATTAATTTGGGCTTAATAGGGACTGGGAGTGGCTGGCTCATTACAGAAGCAGCTTTGCCTCTCCTGGAATTGACACCTCCTCATCTATTGTTGGGAGTGGACTACATCCACCCTGATCGAATTGGCCCTGTCAACACTGGTTCTCCACCTCTTCATGTGTCAGTATATTTATGTCTGCATCTGTAACTTTCACTCCATGCATCTGAAAAAGTGAGGTTTTTACCCACAAAAGCTTACGCTCAAATAAATCTGTTAGTCTTTAAGGTGCCACCGGACTCCTTGCTGCGTTATTAAGCATGCAGCGCCCTCATGTGTCTACACAAGGAATTCTCAACAAAAACCTTTAAATTGGTGTCCGGTGAGAACGTTTGCTCTCTGCCTTTTGGCAGGTTTAATTTTGCAAGAGTAATAAACTTTGATATCATAGGTTTCAGAGGAACAGCCGTGTTAGTCTGTATTCGCAAAAAGAAAAGGAGTACTTGTGGCACCTTAGAGACTAACCGGTGCCACAAGTACTCCTTTTCTTTTTTGATATCATACTGTCCTTATCAAGACACTCTTACATCATTCTCCATTTGAACTCAAGAAAAAAAGGGTGTGTTGATATAGTCAGTAGTAGGGTCCTCTTTCATCACAAGCTAAAATATATACTGTCACCTATAACAGTTGGATTCAGAGCGGATTATACAAGTAAAACAAAAGTTAAAAGCAGCAGCATCAAAAAATATGAAATATTAATAGTACATACTGGAGCTTGGTTAAGGATAGAAACCCCCCTTACCAATTTCTAACCTAGGCCTGGTCTAAACTAGGAACTTATATTGGTATATCTACATCTCTCATTGGTGTAAAAAATCCACACCCCTGAGAGATGCAGCTATACCGACCTCAGCCCCGGTGTCAACAGCGCTAGATAAATGGAAGAATTCTTCTGTCAACCTATCTACCGCCTCTTGGCAGGGTGGATTACCTATAGCAATGGGAGAAGCCTTCCCATCAGCATATGCAGTGTTAAGTGTAGACGTACCCCTAGACAGTTACCTTAGCTGGTGTAACCAAAATTTCTTCCTTACATGATTTATTTGTAACTATACACTGTAGGAATATTTTAAAGCCTCAAATGTTATGAGGCTGACAGAGGAACCATCAGAAAGCAGAGCAACACTATATTACTCATCACACTTATGTAAGCTTATCCAAGATAAAAGTAGTTTTAATGTCACCATTTGAAATTAAGCTTTTCCCTACTCGTGTTGCACTTGTGAAACTCATATGCATGAGAAAAGGTGCTTTGTGACTAAACAGCTCTATTCTAGTCACTGAGGGTACTGGAAAGACAAGAGAATAAAACCAAATAAGTTAAAGTCCTGCATTTGCAGAGGAGTGTGCTACAGTATTATTCAGAAACAAAATACAACCCTTGTAGGACCAGCTTTTGATTTTACTTTATCTTTATATATAGTACAGTACCTTCCAATTCCCTTCCCTCCAGCATGAGATTAAATGCACTTTTCAGTCTGGAAACTGAAGTCACTATGATGCAACTTAGTGAAATATTGGACTGAGCCAAAAAAGCAGACACTCTGGAAAGCCTGCCGTCCCTTGTGCTCTCATTAAAAGAAGGTAAGCAGAAACTGTCTCCAATTCATAGATGCTAAGAAACAAGAATGCAGCACAGTTACAACATGATTTACTGTATTTTTTGCAAAGTATTTGATTTAACTGGGAAAATGTTATCAAAAGGAACAGGCAGCAATAAAAGAATGACTGCAAGAAGATGGTGCTTAATTGCATCTTCTATTAAAAGAACTTCAAAGATCTAGACTTATTGTACGCCATTTTTAATGGCTCTTGTAGCTAAGCTCTTTTGCTATCTCCCAGAATCTCTGTAATAAGTATAGTTGGTGTATATTGTTAGAACCACAGCTTGTGAACTAAAAGAGCTTGCTTAATTTCACCAACATACAGGACCACCTGTAACCACAGCACAATCCTATCATTTTATGGCAGTTTTTCCAGCTCTCCTTTGCTTCCCAGAGGACAGCACAGAAGAGGTAGATTTTCAGCATCCTGGGGATCCATCCTTCTCATTTTGCTACATTTAATTGCACTTTACAAATCAAAGGTAGGCATGGAGCTCAGTATTTAAGACAAGGGACATATCTACTGCCCTGATTGTTTACCTGTTGAGTATTTCACCTGCCACATCATCCCCAATACATTTCTGTCCTAGTATCAGCAATGATGGAAAGAGCTGGAGAACATGTGCTTATCCTAGACTACTCAACAGCGCACTCAAGATGAAATATAGCTGCCAGCATTACACGTTTTCTATCACCCTTCAACCTGGCTGGATGACAGGCAAATGCAAGAGACTTCTTTTGCAAGTTCCTTAGCCAAATATTTTATCAGAAGCCTTACATTAATTGCTTCAGGAGAACGAAGCCACTGGTCAAAGGCCAGGTATGGTGAAAGCTGCAAAATGTATTCCCTGTATTGTAACACCAATGTGAAAAGATGACATCCTACGTTTCACCATTTGAGGTTTATTCAGTCTTTAAATTCACTTTAATCCTGACTCAGAGCAGTAACTGAGATCCTTACCCCCATGATATGTGGTGGTTGCATCCTGGTTTAACCATCACTACAGATAGAGATGAGACCATTAAAATTTCCCTCACTTAGGCTCAAAACACTGTCCCAAAGACTAAAAGGCCAGACAACCAGCCCTCTGTTAATCCACCAACAATTCTAAAGTTCCAGAGAGCTTGTAGATTCAAGGCAAAAAGAATTTGAACAAAACAAGCATTTAGGTGCCTTTTGGTGACCATTCAGGTGTCTCACCCATCACAAGAAATCATGGACTGCATTTGTATTTCACAGAAACACCATCACATCCGATGGCAACCTCACAGCCGGCAACACACCAGGATCCCCACTGGTTTCCACAAAGAAGTAATATTGTGGCCAATGGGACAGCAATCCTCATATATTACGTAGTTAAAAATCTATTTAGTCAACAACTTAAATACAGTTTGAGAATTCACAGCCCTTCCACCTGGTCCCAGTACCTTGAAAGTTTAAGGTAGTAGTAGGAAGAGGACCTGGGTAAGTCAGCGTTGAACCTACCTCCATATTAGAATCTACTGGTAAAGAACCAGCAGAGCATGCAAGACAGGAGAACCAGTACTCAGCACTGGACAAGGAAGCTACAGCAGAATGCTGAGCAAAAGGTGAAAGAGCTATTCTACCCAGTACACATCCCCTTTGAGACTGACAGTCACTGTGTCGCTTACACAAAAGATGGGCTCTTCCCTTTGAAGAAAAGTAATTAGAAATACAAAATAAAAGGATTCATGTTCCCACTGACATCTGACAAGCTAGAGACCCCCATTTTAATAGTAAATTGTTAATAAGAGGCTCAGTGCTTTCTGGGTTAAGCCTTCCAGAGAGATTATGAATAACTGTATTTTTAAAAAGTCACTGAATTGGAGACAAGTAAAAGCTAAAGATGAATCATATGTGCTGCCGTGTTCACAGCTTCGATTCAAAGGAAAGCAGCATCTATTTTGCTCAGCACAGCATTGGGAACATTCATACAGTGAGAAGAGATTTGTTCCCTGTATAATCCAGGCCACATAATTGGAAGTGAGGTTTTTAATTAGAATTGGCGTTTCTGATCCTCCTGCTGACTGACAGCCTCTTTCTCAGACTGCTAAACCAGTTTCCAAGAAATGGCAAAGAGAAAAGAAAAAAATAAATCTGGCAAACCTATAAAGCCTGGATTTGATTATTCTGAACTAGGGATGGGTCATATAACAGGGTACTGCAGAGAGAGGCAAGGAGAACGAACAGATAACCTACCAAGGAGGTTTTCCCCATAATTACAGTAAATCACAAATAAGACAAGATAGGAACTAGTTTTCCTCAGTCAACAACCAGGACAATTTTAAATCAGAAGCCTTATTTTCAGAGGGTATGTCTACACTGGAGCTGAAAGTTGTAATTTCCACATTGAGCAGATATGCCCATGCTAGCTCTGATTGAGCTAGTGCACTAAAGTGTAACCACTATAGAGCAAGCGGCAGGAGGGCCTTACCAATCCTGTCTGAGACTGTACCCATAGCCGCAGTGGTGTGAGTGACAGGAGGGCTAGCTGCCCAAGTATAATCCTGTCTGAAACCATAGGTACATGCGGAAGGCCGCTAGCCCCTCCCACTGCTTGCGCTGTTATGGCTACATTTCTGTTTTTAGCACACTAGCTCAGCGTAGTGTGTGTATGTCTACTTGAGCTGGAAATTGCACCTTCCAGCTCCACTGCTCACATACCCAAAGAGTCCAATTTCTACATGAGGAACAGTACATACACTTCAACATGTGCAGTTTTCTTTGAATAGAAAGAAGCTCCTGCTGAGAAGTCAAACTCAGCTGGCAGTATTAGCAAAGATTCTTACCCCCCTTCAAGACAGAAAGGCCCTGTGTCAGGAAAGCTGTACTGGCCAACGAGGAACGGTCTCCCAATGGGTTACAAGGAACTCATCCTGGTGGTGGTACTGTACCTTCAGGAGGCTCCTCCCGCAGATGAGGGGGCAGTTCTTCACTGGTTGTCTCAGCTTCATCTTCGACCATCTGTGTTTCCGAGCTGGGCCCCTATAGGAAAGAACAGCAAGAAGGACTTAATTTTGGAAGAACTACCACAAGAAGGATTAAGGATTGGAAAATATGCTTTATAGTGAAAGGCTCAAGGGGCTCAATTTAATTAGTTTAACAAAGAGGAGGGAGAGAGGTAAAGTTTTATTTAACCCAGTTTACAATAGGGTGAAACTGAGCCAGAGAAGTTAAGTGAAGTGAGTTGATCACCGTATAGAAGTACTATATGGAGACAAGAAATTTGAGAAAGAGCTCTTCAATCTAGCAGACAAACTTATACCAAGATCCAACTACTGGAAATTGAAGCTAGACAATTTAGACTAGAAATAAGGGGCAGATTTTTAATCTGGATGGTAATTGGCCATTGGAACAATTTATCAAGAACTGTATTCGATTCACCAACACCGGAAATTTTTAAAATCAAGATTGGATATCTTTCTAAATGATATGCTCTAGTTCAAATGGAAATTATGTAAGTCCTATGGCCTTTCATACAGGAGGCCTCAAACTCATAATCTTTAAAGTCAGAAGGGACCATCGTGATCATCTAGTCTGACCTCCTGCACATTGAAAGCCACAGAACCTCACCCACTCCTGAAACAGACCCTTTAACCTCTGGCTGAGTTACTGAGTCCTTAAACCATGGTTTAAAAGACTTCACATTACAGAGAATTCACCATTTATACTAGTTTAGTTTAAAACTTGCAAGTGACCTGTGCCCCATGCTGCAGAGGAAGGCAAACACCCCCCCTTTCCCCTCCCCCGGTCTCTGCCAGTTTGACCTGGGGGAAAATTCCTTCCCGACCCCAAATATGGTGATCAGTTGGACACCGAGCATGCAGGCAAGACCCGCCAGGCAGATACCTGGGAAAGAATTCTCTGTAGTAACTCAGAGCCCTCCCCATTTAACGTCAGACTAGATCACAATGGTCCCTCCTGGCTCTATAATCTATGAATGAAAAAGGCATAAAGGAGAACAAGGGGCATGAAGTATTTTCAAGGCAAGGCTGAGTGAGCAAGTTTAATGTCTAGTAACCCAGTGAACTATCAAAAGCTAATTTTGCTTACCCACCCCAAGCTATATGTACATAGTATATAAAACTGATTCTCAAGCAGAATAGCATTTTACCAGATTCCTTTCCATAGCACTCAATTCAATGCCAGTAGTCCGGGGGCCTTTCTAATCCCTATGATTGATATGTTCATAACCTCACATCAGTATGCCGCAGGCTACCAGACTTATCATGGACCCTGGTGACAGTCAAAAAGAAAAGGAGTACTTGTGGCACCTTAGAGACTAACCAACTGGTGACAGTCACTTATAGTTAAGGTTGCAGAACAGTTTCCATAACATCTCTCACTTTTCACACATGCAACTTAAAACAAAACAAAAACAAAACCACCACCTTTGGATGTGAGATTTCCCATGATTTACGTGTGCCTAAAAGCGTTTTTGGTTGAAGGTCAAAAAAACCAAACAAACATAAAGCCTCTTCATCCCTTTTTACATTATGAGAAAGTGAAGAAAATACAGACTTCCCTTTAAAAAAATTCTAACTACATGATTTTCTTTTATTTTTGGCACAATCCTACGATAAAAACAAGTGAAATCTGAAGTTTAGTGTGGACAAGAGTCTCATTAGGGAACGGGGCTTTTGTTCGCTTTGAAAATAACTGGGTTTGATTTAACCAGAGATTTGATTATTTAAAAAATTATATCCTGAACATATGTGGCTGGAAATTTACAGTGGCTCACTTAAACATAGGTATGCTGCTAACATGCTTACAGCTATGTCCAATGAGCAGTGCATTTTTTTCCCCCCAAACTAAAAAATTAAATGCTAGAAAGTGTTATTATCCAATGCTAAGACTGTGTTGCATGATCTCTTCCATCTTATTGATTTTAAGACTAACACTGCAGTGTTGCAGATTCTGTACGCTCCCACACACAATTTACAAGAGACTGCAATGTGCACTATTTTCTACTCTGATTCTTCTTGTTGAACAGGTAACTTAAATACCCATTTACTTAGCCACTGATTTAACAAGACAGACAGGAAAAGAAAATTGCATATTACTAAAGCACAAAGGGTCTGTTATTAAAACAGGCAAGATATGCTACTCTGTCACATTAACACTATGTTTGCAACCTTGACTTCTGCCTATTGTAACCTGTGCAATTTTTACTTGCGGCATTAATGCTGAGTTAATACATTTCCCCACCCAATTTGCTGTAATTAGTAACAGCACTTACATAGCACCTTACATCTTCAAGTGAAGGCACTGTATAAAAATTAAATAATCGAACTGTGACAGTGCCCCCCATAAGGCTTTATGGAAATATGCTTATGAATGTATATATGACATAACTAGAATATGTTTTATGCTACATATGCCATGTAATATCTCTGTAAAGGTTATGATCTACTGAATCTATTAATCCTATTTGTATGCATGTATCATTTTTGTGTTTGAAGTTATGAATATTGGGTGTGTACTGGCTTGATTTTTAAGTAGTCTTTGTAAGCATTTGGTCAGCTTCTTGAGAAAGGAATGTGCACGTTAAATGCCCAATCAAGAAGCACTTAACAGACAATGCCAATCTACATCTAAGCTTTCCCAGGAATGTGGCTTGGCTGGTAAGAAACTCAGTCATATATGGACTTGTGACTTGCCCATTGACTCCAAAACTCCATTTTGTAGCTGGATTCTACACAGGGCCGGGGGGGGGAGGAGGAGGGGGGGGAGCGTGTCCACTCACAGGAGAAAGTCTGTTTAAACCCCTGGGAGACCCCTCCATTTGGTCTTCAGCTGGCTAAGGAGATAACCTCTCCACCCCCAAGGATACCTGAAAGAAACTGGAACAAAGGACAGTAACTACAGGGGGTGAGAGTGACTGCTGGACCCAGACTAGAAGGAGTCTAGTCTGTAAAAGGAAGCTTACTGGAATTCCTCTAAGGGTAAGGTATTTATCGGTATTCAGAGTACTTACTGTATTAGACATAGACTTGCGTGTTCTATTTTATTTTGCTTGGTAATTCACTTTGTTCTGTCTGTTACTACTTGGAACCACTTAAATCCTACTTTCTGTATTTAATAAAATCACTTTTTACTTATTAATTAACCCAGAGTATGTATTAATACCTGTGGGGGAGGGAAAACAGCTGTGCATATCTCTGTCAGTGTTATAGAGGGCGAACAATTTATGAGTTTACCTTGTATAAGCTTTATACAGGGTAAAACGGATTTATTTGGGGTTTGGACCCCATTGGGAGTTGGGCATATGAGTGTTAAAGACAGGAACATTTCTTAAGCTGCTTTCAGTTAAGCCTGCAGCTTTGGGGCATGTGGTTCACACCCTGGGTCTGTGTTGGAGCAGACTAGCATGCCTGGCTCAACAAGACAGGGTGCTGGAGTCCCAAACTGGCAGGGAAAGCAGGAGCAGAAGTAGTCTTGGCACATCAGTTGGCAACCCCAAGGGGGTTTCTATGATCCAACCCATCACATGCACCTCACAAGAGCCGTGCCAGGGAGGGAGGTGTAGCATTATTTAGCCCAGCTTACATTAGGGTGAAACTGAGCCAGAGAAGTGAAGTAACTTGCACCAGGCTGTCACAGCCATGATTAATGCCCAAGAGTTCTTGGCTGCTAGGCCAATTCCCTGATCATCCCTTTTGTTCACCTCAGGGATCTGGGATAGATTTTGAGAAAGGTAGAAATTCTGGACTCTGGCAGTAGCTGAGTATACAATATTTAATATGAGGTTTTAGAAGACTCCCATTCTGGATTATCCCCCTGACATCTTAAAATATCTTGCTCCAAATCCATCATTTTTTGCCCATTAATGCCTTAAGGAGAAGAAAGAGGATTGGACCACACACCGCCACTGGCAAAACTGAAACACTGTTTGTTTATATAAGACTGCGCCTATCTGGAGCTCTAGATGCAAGTGCAGGCAATTGACAAAGACATGGACAGAAATCTAGTAGAACCAACATTTATATTATGACCCTCTCAAAATAGCAAAACCAAAATGTTCTCCCTGCATCACCTCTGCACCCCTTCCCCATGAGAATGCCTAGGATAAACAGATGAGCTTTTAAAATGTGCTCTGAAGGTCTACAGTTTCCACCAACTCCTGATTACCAAAGTCCTCTATCCTCCACCAAGAAAGCCACGCTTAATACTCCTTTCATCTCCTTCATTCACAGGAACTTTTGCGCTGTATTTCATATTACCCCTTAGGCTGTAGCAACCTACACAAGCCTGTTCACCAAGCTACCTCTCTTGCCTCATTCAAATCCCTCCCAAAACACAAGAGCATCTACAAAAGAGCAGAAAATTTTTTTTTAAACCTAACTGAATGATGGAAGGGGAGGGAAGAAAGGGTCTTTAAAACAGGCAGATCTCAACCATGTAGAACTTCACAGATTAAGGCAAACAATTGGAATGGCATCCAGAAGTGAAATGCAAGCCAGTGCAGTACTCTAAATACAATTGTGATATGCCTAATTAGATAGCCATAAAAGGCAATAAGATATAAATGTAATAAATACTGTATTTTTTCACCTGTAGATGTATTTTCTTAATGGGTTTAATTCCCTGTGAACCAAAAGTATTTTCATGATAATATCTTCATAGATTATAGCCAGTACTGTTGGGAGTGAAATTAGAACAGCTGTATACTTCAGTGGGACCAAGAAAGATAATCATTGGTATCAGCTAATTTGCTGATGACTTGGTTTGGAAAATATAAGGACTTTCTTAAGCATCTGCTATCTTCAGTTCAAAATTGTGCATATTCTACAAAGTCAAGCACAAGCCAGTATTAGTTATTTAGTGCCTGATGACCCACTTTGATTTACAAACCAAATCAGCAAATTTAACAATCCCACATTCTCAC